CTTGTCATGCTCCCTTTCACTGCTGGAAAAGGCAATGCCAGACCGCGCACGCTCCCCAAAGGCGGCTTCCGCACAGCTCACTTTCAAGGCTTCGGGTACACTGTCGTAATCACAGGTCCACAAGCCCGTGTGGCTGTGGTGTTGGCACTGGTGGTAGACCTACCTTGTGACTTTGATATCCTCAGGGGAGTCTTCGTCGGGCATACTATGGATGATGCCCTTGGTTGTGGTTTACGGTGCAGCTGCATATGCACTCGATGGGTATTCTTTGTCTCCCATGCGTAGCTTGGAGATTTCACAGTATTTTCTGGCTCTCCTTTCCGATGAAGTGCGTACTGCTATTGTATTCTGTCTTTTGTTTACACGAAAGATATCGACTCTTGTTTCTTGCTTTAGTCGGGCTGCGGCGCATATGCTGTTGGTGATCCGAACAGCATGATGCGTCACGGTGCTGAAGCCATCTCTAGGGCATACAATAACCTTGAGGTCGTCCACCAACAGATTCGGTTTCTTCGTCGTCATTCTCAGCCTTCGCACGTTTCTGGCTGCTCTTTTTACATACGTTTCTTCATCGGTCAGCATGTCAACTGTCTCTGCAGCAGGATCAGTGCCCCCAATGGGCGTCTTGCGTTCCTTGTATTTGGCCCCTACTTCGAGCCACCCCTTCTTTTTGCGGACCTTGGTCGGCGATGTTTTTTCACCCTTTCGCGAACAACGTCAAAGTTGGTTATAGATAAAGCCGTTAAACGAGTAGTAAGCGGGTGTCACACTTCTTGCTGCGTTCGGCCTAGTCGTCGACCGCGTCTGCAGCGCGAGCGACGGCGTCGATCTGTACTGTGTTCGGCTTAATTCGTGTGCCAGTGTGGCAGCGCAATAAATGCACTGCAGTAGCCAGAAAACGGCTCACCTGCAAAAAACTTGGCATCGGCAGGGTTCGCTGACATTCCCGTAATTGCTGAACAATATGTTGTTTGGAGAGCTGATTTTTTCGTCACAAACATAAAAAAACCACTTAGGCGACGTGAAACACATCCGCACCCTCTGGCCCCCAGTGGCCTCCCCCAAGTTCGTGAAAAAATGAAATATAATAATGTAAACCCAAGGCAGTTTTTTAAAACATGCCTCCATACTAGTGCTGCTCAGCTGAGTTTTACATATCACGGCAGTCGAGGGCAGCTTGCGAAAACAATGTAATTGTGCCTATCATAAGCGGCAAGGTCCACATACTGGACGTGCTGCATTGAGCGGCCCATGGCCTCAACCAGCGGGGCACGGAGACGTTCTTTCTTAGACATGCGTTCTGGTGTCGTCAGGTCATCCTTCCGTTCGCTGAGGAAACCCTTTTCTTCTGCCTTGTACTTTGGGAAAAGCTCTTCAATCGGATTGAAAAACGGGCTGTAGGGCGGTAGCCACTTCATTCTGTGTGCACCTGCTGCGAGGGCAGCTTGTTCAACTCCGCGGTGTGCTGGTGCGTTGTTAAACAGGAACACGGCCTTTGTTCCCGGTTCCTGCTGAGAAACGTTTGTTGGCACTTCTGTGAGAAAGTCGTTAAACACAGCCTAGTCGACCTTGTCAGCCGTATTCTAATGCAGACAGCCATTTGCCGAATCGCAGGCTCAAACAAATATATTTGCTCCCTTGTGCTTGTGAAAAAACGGTATGCTGGGGCACCTCTTCCCTCTTTTGAAATTGCGTGAGAACTAGACGCTGAAGCTTGTTTCATCGATTTAGTATCGTGTTATTGTAGTTCCCTTGCTTGGAAGCCACTGGGCACATCGTCGCTGTAGCTGTTCGATGTCTGCATGATTTCGCTCTGGTATCTCTTGGGTTTGCAGCGTCACTGAATAACTATGGCCATCGAGAAGCCGATCAGTTGGTCATGTGCTGACTTCAATATCAGACAACTTGTCTTTGACAGTCGTCCTGATTAGCTCCAGCGTAAGGAATGAATTCTGCAATTTCTTGCAGGGCATCCGCCACGTCGGGTCCAAACTTCTTCGACGAACCACCACGTGTCTTGGCTGTGTCAGTTATAGGTTGAGGCAGTGTTTAGGATAGCACTTTCAAACCACTGCCGCACCTGTGAACATCTATTATCCGGGAACGATACACGGTGGAACCGTGAGTCAACTTTTTCTTCAGTTCTTCATGTGTGTTCCGCAGCCTTCCGGGCATTGAGTGTTCCCATTTTTCATAGCACCAGTAGTTTCAGCAAAAACTTTCACTTATTTCAAGGCCTACACACACACAGCATTCCATCTTAAAACCAATCATTTCTTATTCGTGCAATACATGGGTGTGGTGCCGTATACAGACCCAGGACGACAGGCCAGCTGTCAGAAAAGAGGCGCTCATTTCTCTCGAAACGTTTTTCTTGAGTTAAAAGAAGAACAAGTCTTCGCAGAAAAAGGAAAGCGGTTTCCAGAGCTCGAGGTTGACCGCTCCAACGAGCAATGCCGTAGGTGTGTCATGCTGGTGAAGACGGCATGTCGAAAGTTATTCATTCTTGTGGTTCGTTCATTGTTGGCAGTTGATAGTGGTACTCTCTCTTCTCTGCCATTCACAAACCGTGAAACGTGTATATATATATATATGGTTACGGTGTGGCACACAGAAACGAAGTTACTGCTAAGATATATTTGCACGACGCCAAGCCTAAGCCGCGATGGCAAGCGAGAGGGCACCCCACATCCCAGAATCACGTCGTCTCTCTCGCTGTCTGTCTTGCTTCATTAGTGTATGTAGTCTTGTAACATGACCCCCGGGTGCAAAAGCACCGTCTCGGTGCTTTCTATGGTGTTGAGGAGTGGTAGAGTGAGGTGGGAAACATGAACAATGTCTGTAGACAGTGGAGCGGAGGGAGATGTAAACTTCAGCAGGGCTATTTCATAGGTAACGTCGGTCACCTGATGCAAACCCGAATCTCTTGTTGTGTAGCAGTGCGATTGCCAGAATGTTAGAAGTTGTTACCAACGGCAGTTTAGCCCACTCTGAGTGGTAGCCTCCTTCACGTCCCGATTTCGCGGAAAAGATAGCGGTTGGCGTGACTGAGGTTGTGACGGTCTTGAAGAGCAAGACGAACCGACCAACGCCGCTGACGTTGACAGTTTTTTCTGCTCTATACGCACTAAAAGACAGCGCTCGCCAGCACAGTAAGCAGTACAGCCTCTCCTTGCTTACTGTGTACGATAATCATCGAAGTATACACGACAGAATAGCGTAGTGGCGTTTGCGAGCCGCGACAACCACCGCTTGGCAACGCATTCACCCCTCTGATATCTACTACATCCCGCGTTCGCCCCGTGGCAGATCCTTTCTTCAGTGCTGCGAGGCGCGTTCAGTGCAAACGACGCTGTGTTTCGGCGACAAAATTCCGCTCGCTGTAGAAAGCGGATTCTTCAGGGTGAACTAGGAGTTAGAGGCGGTAGCTGAAAACTCCTATAATCGGCTCTCGCGCCCGCGTACACAAAGACAGTGTACAAGCGAGTAAGATAGCACGGTCGTGCATGAGCGCCCATGAAGCGACAACATGATGCTTTGGTCCCTCGTCGACAGTGGTTGTTGCCACATCAAAAGGTATATCCATATTGTTCGGTAATTTTGTAACACTGTGCTAGTTGATACAAGTTGCAAGCAAATCTTTTTTTTGTTTTGGGCAGCCAATAGCTCTAAAAACACTAGTTATTAACATAGTTTAAAGTATGTGCACACTCCCGGTGTGGTCCTCCTCAGCGGGATGTTCACCGCTCGCGAGGCACTGCTTTTCTCGTTCTCTGTGGAGCATCAGCATTTCTCGCCCGCCTACGGAATTCTCAGGAACTGACTTTTTCCGCTGCCGCACAAGCAAAGCGCCAATCAGCGCCAGCGTTTCCTCCTCAAAAGGATGTCTCTGCTGCAACCAGAAACTGTTCTTCTCTCCCGGGCCTTTTCTCTACGTTGTCGAGAAGAAGCCAAGAGCCGGCAGGCATCCACGACATGCCCACTTTTGTTTCGTGACTGCCACGCTGGCAACGTGGATAGCACGCCGCTGCTTACCGAGTAGACACGCCGTGGTCTCTCCAATGGGAGCACTGCTTTCTACTGTGTTTACGAATCGGCTACTTCTGACTTGTGGCCCTGCTTCATTTTCTTGGCAGAGCCTTATCCCTGCGTTTTGTGCGTGGGGGCAGACGAAATGATGCAGCACTTGTGCATATGCCCAACGCTTCAGACACAATGAGCCGCAGTCCGTCTCCAGCGTCTGCCTCCCGCTACACCCAGAAACCTCCTAGACCCCTCCGGATCACCACGTATAACGAAATCACGGCCTAATATTAAGAGAACGCGAAAAAATATGCGGCCCTCCATACTGAACTCACAATAAAACACGTTAAGATCTAGAGCCAAATTCAAACAAATAATTTCGAAGCCCTCATCGGTTGTGTTAAATTTACCCAGAAGACATTCTATCATACTGTTCACATTGCGATTGCCTGAAAGCTACCCAAAATCACAATCGTTCTGAATGTTCGGGGAATCCACCACTAAAGACAACAATACTGCCAGCTTCTTGCCTGTAGGTGTGGTAGCTAGCCGCTTTTTCATTTCGGCAGGCCAAAAACGTTTATTTCCGCGGGCAAAAAAAAGCTGTGTTCTACAAGCACGAATGAAAAATTGGGAAGAAATGTAAAATAGGCGGATGGCATGTTTTGGGAGAAACTACCCCAGGCAAAAATCTTTTCCAAGTGGAACCACTTGAAGTGGATTATTGAACCTGGATTTGAAGTGGAACCACTTGACAAGTGGAACCACTTCAAATGGTTCCACTTGTCAAGTGGTTCCACTTCAAATCCAGGTTCCACTTCAAGTGGTTCCACTTGGCAAGTGGTTCCACTTCAAATCCCGGTTAAATAATCCACTTCAAGCGGTCCCACTTGGCAAGTGGGACCACCTGTCTATATCTACTTGTCAAGTGGTCACAGGAACCGCTTGAGCACTTCAGTGAAAACTGTAAACAGATATTAGTTTTAATAATTTATTACTTTACATGAGTGGTATACTTCAAGCATTTAGTTTTCTTTCTTCTTGTTGCGCCGGATGTCCTGTATTTTCTGCGACAAAATTGTCGACAAGTTATCCACTGTTTCTTTAACAGGAACACCCTTGCACGAGCCCCAATGTGTCACAGTGTCTGCAAAAAAAAAAAAAGACAGAAATTAAAACAGGCATGGGAGTCGCATAATTATTTACAGCACAAATCTACCACACCCTTACCAATAATCAAAGCAACCTTGTCTGGGCTCAGCTGTTTCCGCACTACCGCAGTAGGATTTTTGTAATCCTTGGGGGCTAGCTTCCCCCCATAGCTGCGTTCTGCCAATCCTTCACGGCCCCATATGGCTTGGGCCATGTCCTTTACCACAAGGGAAGGTTTCTTGTGGCCCAATATTTTCTCGGCTTGCTGGCTCCCGATGACTAGACCATTTTTCACATGATACTGCAAGTCAAAGCAAGCTGATTAGAAAAGAAATGAAGAGAGCACAGCGATCCACTTACCTTGCCACCACCAATTTCTGTGAATGGAACATCGGTGGCCTTTGAGTCAGCTGCCGATGAAAAATAATAAGTGAAGTTGAGAATTACATCAAAATGATAGCCTTGACACAATGATATTCAAAGCTTTTGAGCTTCTACCTGTGGGCAGTGGCTCTCCAGAAGGCTTGCATTGGCTCTGCAGGCTTCCTGTAGATGTGTCGACACATGATGCCAGCGACGTTGCTGTGGGAGCTGGGTGTGATTTCTCAGCTTGAACTTCTCTGCGCTCAGTCTCCGGAAAATCTGTACACAGTAGAGAAAAAGTAGAAGCAAAACAATTTACTGAGGCTGTTATCAAGATACAACTCTTTATTATCTAGTGAAAAGGCTGAAGGTTTAGCTTTTTGACCAGCAAGAAAGTTTCATAACATTAACATTCATGCAGGTGAGCATACTTCACCTGCAGGGGACTGCTGTGTCTGCTGTGCTTTCTTAGGAGGCGGGGCACTTTCGCTTGCCAGTGTTCCTCGAAGCTGCGAGGCACTTTTGCTAGTAAGTGTCTCTCGAGGCTGCCAGACATTTCCCCCTTGTAGCATTTCTACAACTGAAAAGATAAAAAAAAATTATAAAGATTTGCCAGTAATACTATGAATCAATATAAAAGCCTATAAAGTAAGGTGTTGCACTATCAGCTTCAAATTAAAAGTGAACAGTGGAAAGCATTAGAAATGATAGTCATCCAGTCAGCACCGTTGACAGATGCGCAATGCTCCAGTTTGGTAGCACTGTGCATTTCCATAGTGATGACAGGGCAGCACGCACTGTGCCACTGCTCATGCTTTGCACAGTTTGCATTTCATTCGATGCTGATAGTACATGCCACAACAATCTGAGAAAAGTGTGCATTTGGATAAATTAGTGTTAATGACCCATTCGACATAATCATTTCATCAGATGTACAGGGCTAGAAGAAAGCCAACAGTTGTCTTTGGCTAACCTCCCTGTCCTTCCTCCTTCAATCCTCCTCCTCCTCAACAGTTGTCTTAGCTTATCTTGTCTTTATTTTTACGCTGAAATAATTAGTTGTTGGGGTCTAACATCCCCAAACCACTATATGATTATGAGGACCGCCGTAGTGGAGGGCTCAGGTAATTTAGACCACCTGGGGTTCTTTAATGTGCACCTATCTAAGCAAACATGCTTCAATCATTTTCGCCTCCATGAAAAATGCGGCCCCCAAGGCTGAGATTCAATCCCGTGACCTGCGGGTGAGCGGCAGAGTGCCTTATCCACTAGACCACTGTGACAGGTTGCATTCTACACTGAACAAAACCATGACAATGCAGTTTGTCATAACTGAATTTAAATGGCTATACTCAAGGCGAGTTGTATCACTGTGTAGATTTAATTACAAACCGTTCATGTTTATGGGTGTGCGGTGTCAAAAAAAAAGTTATATAAATCAAAGTAAACAAAGCTAGGAAGACACTGAGAGGTATCTTACATTCTTCTTTTTAATTGTTTTTGTCATTTTGTGCGAGAAATATCAGCTAGCAGACGTCCATTCCAGTACGAGTGCTAGTGATGTGCACGCTTGCTTTGCTGCTAACACTTGTTCTGTTTTATTTGAAAGTAATTGTGCCTTCTTGTGTAATGGGCAAGCTTCAACTGTTAGCGAAACTTCCATAGAAGCCCATGGATATAGCAGTTGAAGGCTCGCTGCCACCATGGCCATCTACGTGAGGAAGGGATAGCTATAAGCAAAAAGTTAATAAAATTTAACGTCACAATTTGAAGCGGTAGCGACGTCGCACATTTGTCCTACATGGCGCAAAATCGATTTTTTTTCTAACTGCTGCCTTGTTACGCGCCTTCATTATTACGAAATTTTATTGCGCCTTGTGCCTCGCCAATTGCATGCAAGAGAGAAAAAAGACAAAGATTGAGAAAGCAAAGTTGTTTTATTGGCCAAATGACATACTTACATTATGCACAAGAAACTTGTCCCGCCACGGTGGTCTAGTGGCTAAGGTACTCGGCTGCTGACCCTAAGGTCGCGGGATCGAATCCCGGCTAAGGCGGCTGCATTTCCGATGGAGGCGAGAATGCTGTAGGCGCATGTACTCAGATTTGGGTGCACGTTAAAGATCCCCAGGTGGTCGAAATTTCCGGAGCCCTCCACCACAACGTCTCCCACAATCGTATGGTGGTTTAGGAACGTTAAACCCCACAAATAAAATCGAACTTCGCAGAGGCGATTGTGAGACAACTGTTGAAAAACAAAATAGCATAACAGTTCAAAAGCTCGCGTTTCCCAATCATTGAAAAACACTTGCTGCGTGACAGCAGGTTTGAAAATATGGCTTCGGCAACCGCCGAGTACAGCGTCGTGTTGTGTAGCCTGTCGTATTCACAATCATCAAAGGCAAGCCGGCCGTGCGCCAGCGAAAGCAGTCTGCAGTCTCAGAAGCGGCTATCTACACATTCTGTGAACTAGTTGAACTATGAAATGCACATAAAAATAAGTTAACTTTGAAGGTACACATGAAACCACTGCGGAAAAGTAAGCGATGCCTCATTGACCTGCTAATACGCCGAACCAACAAACATGCCGAACTGAACAGAAGCTCTGCTAGCATATTGCCTGGATACGCCCCCAAAATCGTTGGCCCTTGTAATCAGACTGCCTGCATGTGCCTGCTGTTTCTGAAACCAAACGAAAAAAATGGGCGCTAGAGAACACTTATGAAAATGTATTTACATTTTTGAAACTTTATGCAGCTAATGTTTTTATGTTCTTTCATTGTGGTCCCTGTTTTATGCAAATGACACATAATTACTTTGTAGTGGCGTAGTATTAGTTGTGATTTTACACATATGTGCTGAGCAACATCGCAGATGAGGCCAGCAGCAAGACATACATGTAATGCACTTGAGCATAACCTCGCATAATTAGTGTACCGTCTTCGCCCACCAGTGAACTGAATTTTTTCAAGCAGACTAACAGGCAGCTGTATAGGAACTGTGTTGATGTGCTAACTCTGAAGTCTTTTTGAGGAGTGTTTTCGGGAAATGAAATGGTGTCTATAGCTGTCAGTCTAAACACTGTTTTCACTGAGGAGCTTAGTAGCTTAGAATTGTATTATTCATGTACTGTCTAGAATTTCTTTGTGCTGTGCCGACTTTTCATTCCAAGTGTCCTAACATGCTTTGTTAGTGTGTTGTGAATGAGCCAAGCTATGTAAATAAGGAGGGTAATATTCCAGACATGTACGAAGTTTTGATGCACAGCCTTTTTTTTAGCATGACATTGTGAAGGGCTGTATTCTTGTATGCCTTGTAAAAACTGCTTATCACTGGGCAGCGGCAGAAACTATGCATCAAGCTTTTCCGAGATGGTTCGACAAACACCGAGTTCAGACATAACAGTGCTGGTGGACTTATTTTGCAAGTTTCTTTCTGTATATTCAAAATAGGTGTATTAGAATTGTTGTTTTATAGCCATTAATTTTAATATTTGCACCTTAGTGTATTTATGTATGTATGTGTGTATGTATGTATTGTACCGGAACATAGTGGCGCCAGCTCTGTGCCAGCGTGAAAGAATACGTTGACGTCCGTGTGTGGCTCGTGCTTGCCGGGTTCCTGCCTGTACCAGCTTGTTGTGGCTAACACGTCTTGAATAATAACCTGTGTTTTTACGCGACCTCGCTCGTTGCATTTGGTGAAAACGTGCTCGGTACCTGGAGCTCCGCAGCCATAAGCTACCATCTGATTCCGCGATGACCGAGCGCGTCGATCCCTCACAAGCCTCTTCCACGCTGCCGCCTGTCATATGTCCTGATGTACTTTATCTGCGTGACCCACCAGTATACAAGAGCACTGAATATCATGATGTCGAGGACTGGCTGGTAGAGTACGAGCGTGCCAGCGAGATTAACAAGTGGGATGACCCTGCGAAGCTGACTCACGTCATCTTCTACCCGACAGATTTGGTTCACCAACCACCAAGCCGACATCCCCACCTGGTCGGTTTTAAAAGAGGTCGTGACCTTGTTTTTTGGTCGTCCAGCCATGCGCAAGCCTCGCGCTGTAACCATTTCTCCACTATGGCAGCGCTTGCATTCATCTTATTACTGATATATCGTCAATGCTTAGAATGACGCCAAATGCAAAAATGTCAGGTGAAACTTGGTCAAAAATAGAAAAAATAATTAGAATGCGTTTGCCTAAGGTTACTAGAAGATAGAAATCACCAGGTGTGGCTGTATAAGCGTGCACTAATTATCTTGTAGATTACTGTCATGATGTTGGGATAGCCGGCTCTAACGAACGCTACCTTCTCATAGTTTGCAATGTGAATAAAAAAATAAAAATATATCGGCCTGTGACAACGCTAATCAACTAATATGAAAGCATTGTGACTAGTGTCCCTTTCACTAGATGACTACTCAGTTTGTTTCCATTATAGTTATTTCAGGAAAATTTGACTCCTTAACTCACAACTCTCCTAATTAGCATTCATTCTCACACCTAAAGACAGTCACACTTCATCTCATGGCTGTTGCTCCCATAAAACGCGTACTCCATTTTTTTATACTCTCCAAGCATCCGACGCTGCTTTGCGCAAACTTTCCCTGACGTCTGCTAGGCCAGAAAATTGTCTTTATTATCTATCGATTTCATGCTTTCACGGAGACGAAAAGAGAGTCTCTTTTTTTTCGTCCTTTTCACACGTGAGATAACGTCTCTCGTCTTCAAGACTCGTATACACGTCCCTTGCTTTGTTTGCTCACTCAAACAATGCTCGACGAAATATTTGCACCGTGTTTTGTGAAAAGCATTAGCACTGAAACACCTCCCGACGAGTCTCCCTCGTTTTACGTAGACACATATCTAAGCGCAAGCGTGTGACTGTTCTCGCAATGTGGCTTTATAAATATTGCTGCGGTGCACGGAACGTGCGAAATTCTGGTGACAATTTCATTTGATTACTGCTGTTCTATATTTCTGCACAATTCCTTTGCATGCGCAAAAGTCGCTCCTGTGTCTTGTAATTAGAATATTGTAAGAAAGGCAATCTTTTACGTCTAGTACAAAGCACCCTTACGTACATCGCTGTATCGTGTTCGATTACACCGGATTAGTTGAGTAGCAGCACAGCTTCATTAAAATGTAAGATAACTGGTTGCGTTAAACAGAGGAAGACATTTGAGGCACATTTTCAAACATTGCATGCATCGATTTATGCGTGGTTTCATTAATGTGGTGCACCTGGATTGTTTTTTACAAGTACTTGGCGAGATAGTGCATGAATTTTATTGCTTAAGGCCATCGGGCAATTTCTTTTTTATTTACAGTCGTTTATGAAAGGCGAGTTTTTGGCTTTGCACAGCACACCCAGACGTCTATTACAACGTTCGCGGCATCCCGTAAGCGCTGTAGCAGACGCTCGCGGAACTGAAACTTAGATGCAGTCAATCAGTGGCTATCATCGTATAGTCTCCACGCTAGACGCTTTGCGTGCTACATAGATATTATCAGCACACACTTCCTTCTTTCTTTGACGTTTAATTATCTATCGTGTGTCCTCCTCGTTTTCTTAAGTGCTGAATAATTTAAATTCATACCCGCGCTATAGTAACCCTCCAGGTAAGAGAATTCTTGGCTAAGGAAATGCATAGCTAAGAGAAAGCTTTGTGAATTTTGCCCCGTGTGTTTTATTTGGAGATTTTAATGCTCAAAGTTTATTTTGGGGTGATATGAGGTGTGATGCGAGAGGTCGCGCTATAGAAAACTTTCTTCTCCCATCTGGAGCATGCCTGTTCAATGAGGCAGAGGCAGCATATTACGGTACCACACACAATACATATTTATGCATAGATTTAGCCATTGTACATCATCACTCCTGCCTTGCCTAGATTGGAAAGTTAATAATAATCCACATGAAAGTGACCATTTTCCCACCCTTCTAGAAACTAACAACGAGATGACCGACCATCGTTCCCCTTGAAAAACTTTCGTGAAGCAAACTGGGTGCAATTTAGAGAGCTCTGCACACTACGCTTCGAGGAGGTGGAGCATCTGAACGTAAAAGAGATGGCCAACTATATTTCTGAATATGTCCTTATTTTTGTTAAAAAAAGTGCATATTGTAGTCCAGCAATA